GAACCAACCTTTCTCAAGGAGCGACCAATGAGTGTTTCCGCCGACTCGGCAATCATATGCAGCCCGCTGTGAAGGTCGTTAAGCTTCGCCTTTGTTAGCTTCAAGCGGTTTAGAAGCTGCTGGTCGAGCCCTGAAAAGGATAGTTTGGGCTTGTCAAACGATTTGGGACAGTCATAATATAAAGGAAAAAACATGGCTTGCGTACCACTTGATTGAGCAGCCTGAAGGTCTAGCCTATTCGCCTCCATAATGTCATTTTCACGGGCGACAAGCAGACCAGCGAGGTGGCGAACCATTTGCGCTCGCTCCTGGTTCGTGAGAGCATTTAAATTGCGCCCCGAATCGCGACCTGAAAACCAAAAAAATGGACTTGCTGAGAATCAAAAATGACATTAATTCGAGACAACTAAAAGAGTTGTGCAATCAACTGCTCCGGTTTGTCGAAATCGCGAAAATAATTTTTAATGAATATCAATTCATCAAATTTAATTTTGTCGTAATAGGATTTTTTGAAGTTTCAAGAATCGAATTTCGATCTCTAAAATGTAAAAAAGCCTAACAAAATTTATATTCAGCAAGGAGCAATTTTGAAAAATTGGATTTCAACATTTTAGTTTCGACAAGGTGAAAATACCACATATGACACTCCTTACATTTCATAGCGAGCTCCTCGACGGGCGGTCCTTCGTAGCGATGCGTTCGCGCAAACATCGTTCCAATCTACAAAAGGAGATTGGCTATTTCTATGAAACGATCAAATACTGCAGAACTAAACTCTAGCCCGAAAAAACTATTTTTCTGGCTTTTAACAGCGAATACAAAAAATGAAAATATTGCATTTATTGTGAGTTATTTATGATTTTTTGCAAATGTAAGCTAAAAATTGGTATTTAAGGATATATTGAAACAAAAACGGACCTTCTTGCCTTTGACGGTGTTGGTGATTGCGTCCTGGGCCAATCCATTTGTGATCACCGTCGTCACGCCATTCTCTAGCGCTTTGATGCACGATTGGACCTAAATTTACTCGGTTACGCTAGCAAAACGAACTCTCTACCTTGCTCTCCATTCCCCCGGTCCCAAACTTGCTGTTGGAGCCAAAGACAACGTTCGCACTTTCCTGGGGAACGAAGGTGTGCAACAACCTTGACCCTTCCATATCCGGTGGACCTAGGCATGCTGGTCTTTATTCTCTTTTTCCAGCGAACCAGTGAAGACACCGCTGACATTCGAAAGGATCAGAAGAAGATCGGCCTCGATCTCCGCGGACAGACGTGCCGCCAACTGGTCGTTGTCCGAGATGTGCTAAATTCGATAAAGTTTTCTGGAAAGCAGAATTCCGTGCCTGTGCGAGTTTTGGATCGGGGGGCCACGGCGTCGTTTGCATTGACAATGGGGATGATGTTGAGTGACAGTAGGCTTTCGATCGTCGCCACCAAATTCTTCCGTCTTTGCGGATCATCGATATCAGGCTTGGTGAGTAGTACCTGCATCGGGATGTATGCATTTTCTTTATACAGCAAAGCAGATTGGTTCGCACTTGCATTTCACGCTTCTTAATGGACAAACAGACATTTTTAGATTACTTCCTAAGCATAAGAGTAAGTCTAAGCCTAAGCCTAATCCTACCCAAACCTAAGCACAAGCCTAGGCTTAAGGCTAAGCCTAAGCCTAAGCTCAAGCCTAACAAGCCTCAGTATACGTACCATTTGAACGTTTGCTTAGATCGCAGTTATCCCGAGACAAAAAAAGACACCTCACCTGAGCCACAGTGATCCCGTATTGCTGAAAGAGCTGCTCGTAGAGACTCATCAAACCGGGCATCCCGGAAGCGGCACAGGCCCGCTTGTCTGCGGCCATGCCCGCCGTACCCCTGCCCAAAAGAGTTCGGGAACTGTTGCACGGGACTTACCGCTTCAGCGTTTGGCGCATGCTCATGCTCATCACCAGCTCTTGGCGCAACTTTTGCCGTCCAAACGCCACGGCGCCCGAAGAGACGATCAACATCTGGCGGCCGCTTTGTTGCAACTCGGAGACCTGCTCCACGACGCTTGCCAGGCGGCCCAGGGCCAGCCCACATTCATCATCTCTAAAACGATTAGGGTATAATTCTGAATTTTATGGATGCGCCGTTTTAAATCTTCATCAAATACCTAGTGATGACAGCGCTCCCTAATTTGACGACAATCCGTTGCGCTTTCTGCAGATCGGCCCGTGTGTTGATTCCGGAATTTCGGGATCGATTTTTGGTACTAAAGCGGCGAATCTATGAGAGTTACGAAATTGTCGTGCCTGAAATTTCCATTGTTATCCCCAACTGGCACACTCCCGACTTTGTGCAGCGGCGCAACCTGCTAAAATTTGGTAGTATTAAGTGAAATTGCGATTTTTCCAACTTCCTGCACAACCAGCGAGGATCCGAGGCGCAGCTGACGCCGCGATGCAACGATCGAATTCCGTTTAAAAACTGTCGCCGCGCCGCGACAAGCACGAAACATCCCTGGAAAGAAGAACCGGAATGTTTTGTTCGAAATGTTTGTAAGGGAGAGAGGGGAGTGACAAAAAAAGTAATTAAAAATTTGATCTAAGAGGCCTTCGCAAGTTGCAAAACTAAAAATCGTTTAAAACGGCAGCTTGAAAATTATTTTTGTTAGTTTGAATCACACTAAAAACAATCGAAGAAATTTGCGGAGATATTGGTTATTGAGATGCGATTAATTGTGATAGCAAATTAATGTAAAAAACACGAATATACAGCGGCTTTAGTCAACACCGGGTAATAAGGAGAAGTTCAACGGGCGGGCAAAATTCATCTTCCTGCACCGGCACCGGGGGCAATTCGTTTGCGCATATATAAGAACAATAGTCGTGGGAGTTGGCATCGAATACGCGACAAGCGTGCCGTTTCATCATTCTTATGCGCCTCGGGGCAGAGAATCTGCAGTTCGGTGCTGCGAACGGACAGGTTTCCGTTGATTGATTCGGCTTTTGCCTAGCACGTGGCGTGGTAGTTTGCAGGCTATCCAAGCCTTCAAATCAATCGAAAACCTTCAATACCAATTTACATCCTATACAAAAATCCCACCACCCCCCCCTCACCCAAACCCCCAAAGCCTCGAGAGTCCCAGCCCCACCCATATATAATTGCAACGCACAATATTGTAATGACCAATCAGTCCGTTTTTGATTCACAATGAAGGAGGGGCAAGAGCAGTGGTACCGAAAAGCAATAAAAATTCGGTTCCATGGGCAGTTAGACCTACCAAGATAGAGCTTTTTATTTGTGGCCCCGCTTTTCAACCCTGACCCTTCAGGATCTGAAAATTTACTTTACATAGGCTTCCAATCCGATCACCAAAATAAAACGCACCCTCCCTCCCTTTTTATACCCATTTGTCACCATCCTCCTAACAAAGAGGATTTTCATATATTTACAAAACTTAATTTTATACGAAAAAGCCATTTTCTTAATTTTTATTTCACCATCTCGACCATTCCACCTAATACTATTATACTACCTTAAACCTTCCCCTGATTACATACTACGGAATTATCAAATATACACACACACAGACACATTTTTTTATATAGTAGATTAGCGTCCAAAATAGAATATCCAGCTGCAAGTGTGGTGCTATTAAAGCGAAAATTCAACAACGTCCAAATAAAGACACTTAGCGCTACGGTTTTGCTTCCCCCCCCCCCCCAGCCGAAAGGTTTTGGCTATCACTTTTTTACATTATTGTAAGCTCAAATTTAAATTCTTTCTATATTTTTCGACGCTCTATCGAATGGCGTTGTAAAAATACCGACAAAATAAGCGGAAATACCGAAAACCATAAGACCTTTCGGTTGTGGGGGGGGGGTAAACTAAAGCCTTACCAAACATTTAAGCAGATAAAACCATAAACTATAGGACCTATTTCCACGCAAAACATGTAGACTTCAAAAGTCGAAGCTATGCCCCCGGGCGGGGTCAGGCTTATCGCGACAATGTTTTCAGGAAGGGCCGGTGCTGGAAGGGCAGCAATAGATCGGGCGGTCAGTCGGCACCGACAGGATCCATAGCGCCTTTCCAGCCCCCCCTTTCTCACCACGCCGGTCAAACTGGATTCGCGAGGTTGAACAGGGTGATAAGATATGATAACTGAGGGTCCACTGGGTACATTGCCCATCTCAGATCACCCCCTGCGAATTACCTGGGGCTACTGATGTAAGGAGATCAAAAAACCAAAAGGATTTGTAATTTATTTCCTGTATCATAGGAAAGTAACATCAGGGTTATGTCCAACTTTAATTATTTAGTTACCTACCGAAACACCTGAAAAGGCGAGAAAACGAGCAGTTTTCGTTTTTTGATTAAGGGTTTAATTGTGCATTTTCACGACTGAAAATTGTGGAAAGAGCTGATTTATGCGAGATCCCCATGTTAATTGCAATATCGGCGCGGGAAAACACGCGTTTTTAGCAAGACGAGCAATATCAAGCAAATGTTAAATAATTTAAGCAAACGAAACGCTCTTGTTTTCTCAGCATTTAAAGGGCTTTCGAATGGTGTAAAAACCATCCCAATCCGCGCTTTCTCCGGCCCTCTAGGCAGGGGGAATTTTTACAGATTCGTAGTGGATGGACTTCCCTCGCTCACGAAGATCAGAATTTCTGCATTTGGGGGACTACTCGACCGACGAACAATTATTAAGAAATTTTTAGACTCTACATACTACCCAATGTACTTTGTCATTCACGAATCTCACGTGCGTACGCGTACGTCCACACCACAGATTGGGATTCAATTTTCGTACGAAATCCGACCAGGCGAACCGGTTACTCGCAGCACCGAGCACAGCTGAGAACACCCGGCAAAAGCCGTCAGCCTTGGCATAACACGGCGGGAAGTCTCTCTTTCGTGACGGCGGGGCAGCACAAGGCCTTCCATCGCCCACCAAGGCAAAAGCCAAAGGCGAAGGTTGTTGTGTGGGTTCTGCCATATCGTCATCGCCATGCTATTAGCTAGCCTTTTTGCCCTTCTTTTCATCGCCACCACCACCTCTGGCCAGTGAGTTCAGCACCAAAAAGCCGTGGCGAATTGATCGAAAAATGACAGTTTTATTGGATTCAGTGTTAGCCATTCGTTAACACTTGGTTGGCAATTTTATGAAAATGCACCTCGTATTGAGAAATGCATCAACTGAGCATTATATCTTTGATTTTTGTCTTTTAGAAATGATGGGCAACGTTTCCAAAGCATGCTAAAAGGGTTTTTCAAGCTGTCAGCGAACTATCCATTGACCCCCGCATGGCGATCTAACTACAACCAGGTATCGCATCCACTCGTATAACCAAAATTTATCAAATTTCTCGCAGCGATCCGTCATCTATCGCATGAAGGATCGGACAGAATATTCGGCCAACCATAAAATTCTAAACGACGTTTTTGAATCCGACATGGTGCTGACCCCATATCAGATGGAGGACGTTATCGATACTTTTCGTGCAAGGGTTGAGGGTAGGTAACCTTACACATAGTGTTTGAAAAATCGACCTCCCTCAGCGGCCCGGAAACAGGTCGGATGATTATTTTTACGCCATCCCACAGCCATCGAAACGGCGAGAAAAAAGCGCCTTTCGTCTTCCAAAGTTTTTAGCCCGCTCTCGATATTCAAACGATTTTTTGAGAAAAAAAACGTAAAATCGGCGTCGTCGTGTTAACGTGAGCAAGTAATTGAGATTCGAATTGATGTTGCAAAAAATCTACAGTTTTTCATGGATTTTGCTCCTAAAATTGGTGAATTCAATGGCTATATTATGCTTAGGCTTAGGCTTGGCTGTCTGGTGCTTTCTGGTTCTGGTTTGGGGGTCGATTTTTTTGGGACCCCTGCAGTGGCGTAAGTTTACCTTGAGTTTAGGGCGACCAAAAAGGGTAAAAAGAAACGCAGCGGCGGTGAATGAAAAACTCCGCTGGCCCAACAGAACGATTCCTTTTGAGTTCAAAGATCGAAAAGATGGTAAGTTTAATAATAACAATTTTGGCAAAAAAACTTTTAGGCAAATGGGTCACCCTATTAATGTCTGGTATGGAAAAATGGTCTCGTGAGACTTGCATAAAATTTGTCCCCCACTCCAACGAACGCGATTTTGTGACGTTTTTCCGAGGAGGCGGGTAGGATAGTTTGATTGAGCGATTTATCATACCTTGTTCATCGAATCTATGCTTCGAGCTTTCAGCTGTTATTCGAACGTCGGCCGCACCGGCGGTAAACAGTACATCTCCATCGGATTTGGCTGTGATGGGGTGAGGAAAGGAAAATGTCTTTTTTTACTGTTGTCGACACTTGCTGGTCTAGAGTGGGATTGTGGCTCACGAACTTGGTCATGCGATCGGCTTCTGGCACGAGCAGAGCAGGCCGGATCGCGATGAGTACATCAACCTCAACAATGACAACATCATCAAAGGTACCTATGTGGGTTACTCTTGGATTCAAAGGGCTTCGCAAAAGTTCTTTTCATTCTCACCATTTTTTAGGGAAATTTCGAGAAACGCACTGATCTCGATACAGCCGATGTACCATACGACTTTGGTTCGGTGATGCATTATGGTGTGTATTGCCATAGCTAATTCACATTGAACATTTGATTAGCGATCATATTCCCGGATTTTCATAATCTCGAATTTTCATAGTATAAATCAACATTAATATTAATTTCACGCCTACGCCCTGTACCCAGCCTACCCAACTTTCGAAATTCTGAAAATTCTAAGTCATGAAAATTCGAGATACTGAAATTCGAGATTTTGATAGATTCCCTGAATCATTTAGGTCCACAAGCGTTCACGAACAATTGGAATTATGTGACGATTGAGACGAAAGATCATCGCTTCCAGCACACGATCGGCCAAAGGGCCGATATCTCCTTCATTGACGTCAAGCACGCGAATCGGCTGTATTGCTCCGGTTAGCGGGATCCAGTTAACGGGCATTGCCTGCAAAGCATATTGCAATTTCACCGATATCAACTGAAATTTTTATTGCAGGAATTTGCCAAGTTAATCTACACTGCCTGAACGGAGGCTATGAAGATCCACTCAATTGTCAAACGTGTAAATGCCCACCAGGACTCGGAGGGCAACGATGCGGCCATGTCGCGGTTAGTACCGGTTTGCGCAGTTTGCATTCTTTGTACAAATATGCCTTCCCCCATAGCTGGATGCGGGGGTGAGTTGATTGCCGGAGCAACGTGGAATCTGTTGACGTCAAGACAAATTGGGACCTGTCATTGGAGGATTTTGGTCTGTGAAACAACTAGGCTTCACCTGTATTTAAGGCGCCACTTGGGCAAAAGATTCGCTTCGAGATCATCGAGGCCAAATATAAGTGCGATTCGTCTTGCGCCGAGAATTACCTGGAAATCAAACACCAGCGCGACATGCAACAAACTGGCTTCCGGTAAGAATGGCAGCAAAATGGCTTATTTATAGAATTGAAAGGCTTTCATCGCTTGCGAAAAATCTCGCGGTCCGAGTGAGGGCTCCCCGACATTTGCGGCCCGACAGATGCGGCCCGACCTATTAAGCTCGCTTTTCCCCAATATAAAGTTAAAAAGAGGGTTAGTAAGAGTCTAGAGCATTTTCAGACAAGGCGGGCCGCCGCTTTGGATCGGCTGCCGCTCCACTCTTTTGAAATCGCGGGCCGCTACGCGCGCCTCGGGCGCCCCGATTTCGAAACCCTGTACGAGCTCGCACCCATCCGAAGCGACTAGGCCCCGGGTGGCACGAAGTCTTATTTTTAGGTCAAGACCAGGGGGACAAGCGATCAAACCCCGTTCAGAAAACTAGCCTTCCGGACGGTTAAAAGCTTCAGTTTTGGGTAATTAACTACAGCTTTGGGCCGCAGTTGTCGGATGTCGGGCGCAAGTGTCGGGCCGCAAATGTCGTGGCACCCTGAGTGCGCGTTATCCCACCTTTCAGGCAGTGCTGCAATGCAGCACCTGGGGTCATCGTCTCGGAGGGAAATCAAGTCATCATCACATCTGTTGCCAAGGACAAACAGCCGAATTTTAGCATTCGATACATTCTAGGTTGTTTCTATTCTAGCTTCTAAGCATCAAGCATAGGCATAAGCTGTTTTTGAAAGGCGGCCGTTTGATGTTGCCACTTCCAATGTGCTTTTTCAGAGCAAGCCTATTTGCCAAAACCCCCGGTGGCCAACTGGGAGGGCCAGGGTGGACTCACCGGACTCCTAGGGCAAGAAGCCGGCATCGACAACACATTCGAGAACTACCTGGTTAAGGAACTGCCAACGGTCCTTAGGTAAGCCGAACCCCATGAGAATCACTAAGACTACACTTAATTGTCATTAATCCCTATTTTCAGGGCCACCGGCCCACGCGCAGATATTGGCAGTTTTTTCAACTTGGTCGACAGTCTCCTTCGGGCCGGGAGTGGCAAGAAGAAATAAGCGGGCCTCTCAAGGGCATCTCGTGCTTTTAATTATGTATTTATTGATGACTACACAGTTAAAGCTTTATTGAATAGTGCACAGAGAAGCATGAGAAGATTGGGTCCTGTTCTTTGAGATGGCTGTCGCGGATCGTTTCAGACTTTCGAAGCAAATTGAGCGGGGATCCAGCCGGTTCTAAACCGAATAATATTCGCGCATTACATTTTTGAAAAGTTAAAATCAATGAGTATGCTCATGGCACGTCTGCCGATCTGAACCATTACCTATTGCCGCTGGCCTCTTTGATAAAAATCCATCCTCGATTCCCCGATTTGATGAGGGTGACTCGGTCTCCTCGGACTACGGAGAGTTGATCGGGGCCGCTCGGGCTGTAATCCTCGTTTACCTCGAGGCTGACACCGTAATCCTGGGCCGAAAACGGCGACGGCACGACCACCGGAACTAAACAGCTTGGGTTTGGGCTTGAGCTATTCGGCAAAAATGGGCAGCGTTTTCGAAAACCAGTGAAAAATTCTGCCCAGATTCTGACAGGCTGGGCCCTAACACGAAACGCAACCTTTTTAAGATATGCTGTAACCCACGATACAGGTGTCCCAACCCCTCCCCCCACCCGTTAGCCGGCTGCAAACTTGTCCGACTTTTACGATTTAGGTATCTATCGAAATCTCGCGGAAAGGCTAGTCCAGCGCGTCTCACGGGTTGCAAAATTCCAAAATTTTTTGTTGGATTTCGAGCATAAAAAACCCGTGGTCAGAAGAACATCAGAAAATCCGTCCGTTTCTGCGCATGCTACCGGCTAGGGTAGCGGGATTTTTTGGGACGCCCTGTATTCGATAAAGATCTTGAAACTCGGTTAATGTTTGATAACGCACCTGTTCGAGCCGCCGGTGTAGGCTTTGGATCGGCGGCATAGACGGGGAGTGGGCTAGGGTTCGTGGCAGCAGCCATTGGTGGGAACACTTGATATCCAAACTTTGGTGGTGCGCGGGCGACGGCTGGTTGAGGCTAAAAAATATCTTGACGAAATTAACCAGCGTCGCGGCCTAACGGCATAACCGATGATCGCATAAAGGAAAAAAGTTTACCTGCGCAACGTTCTGCGCTGGATGTAGCTGCAGAGCCGTCCTTGCGCGCTCCGGCGACGCCTCACGCGGTCGGAAATCATATGCCATGCTTTCGTGGTGACGCTCAGCCTGCGGCCATTCCTGGAACCGTTTCTTCAATGTGCCTGTATTGTCACCCACCCGTTGTGGTAGGTATTCAATGTTTTCTTGAGCGATTTCGGCCAAACGATGCTCGTTCGACGGCGCCTAAATGAGCAAACATCAACACCTGTTACTGGAGAATGATACCGTTTCTGTGGGATTGGTTTGCACCAGTTGCTTCTCACTAATGAGAGCAATCGAATTCTGGTCATCTTGCGTGGATAGCCGACTCCGAATCCCTTCGATGCTGCTAGCGCTGCTGGCTTTGCTGCTCGCCGTCGATTTGCGATCAGACTGAATCTTGGATTTACCTCTGTTTTTTTTTGACAAGGATGTGCTATGCTGCTTGGCTTCAATCGTACCTGTGTTCCGTTCACCTCAACAGCGACCAGCACGCTCGGAGCTGCGGGTTTTTCCTCCGGCTTCGTGGCTTCGGAGGTCTTGGTACTAGCGTGTATTCTGCTGCCTTCTTCTTCTCGGTTTGCCACTTCCTGACAGTATTCGATCAGATCGCCGTATCTAAAGACCGTCTATGAAACGTCGCCTTCCCTAACAATAATCTCTGTTCACATGCCTTTACTACATTTTTGAGGTCCAGTTGGGGTGGAAAGGTAAATAAATGCACCGCGGAAAAACTCACGTCTTAAACCACTCTTCGTGCCGATCGAAGAAGAACTTGTAGCGCAGCTCTTGTTGTTTCACGAAATACTCGCGCTCCTTGGCGTAGAATTTTCCACTAGCCTCCGCCGACTAAAACTTGTTGCTGGGAAGTGATAACGTGCTTCGGTACCGGTTTGGTTTTTAAAAACTCCTTCTCGTCCTTGGCGAAACGGGAGGCCATTTCCTTCAGCACGTCCTTCTCGCCGGTGGAGAAGCGGTTAGTTTTGTTCGCGAACACTGAGAAATTGGCCACCTAAAATGGAAATATATCCCACGTCCCTTTTCTTCAACGTCCAGACGAAAAGCACACGAAAAAGCACAATGAAGTTGACTAACACTTCGTTCATGGTGTTGCATAGTGTCCCGGAACTGCTTGCTCGTTTCGAGAAGTTGCTTCCCATAGTTCTCAGCCGCTAAATATATGGATCTAGTTGGATTCGTTCAAACCGTCGACATTACCAGGGCTTGCGCCTTTCGCCGAGCGCGCCAACTGGGCCAAGCTTGTACAGTAGGCGTCTGTGCTTCGTTGCAACGCTGCAAAGCATCGTTTATGCAATGGAAACAAGGGTACCTTGAAATGCCCTCAATAACTCAGCGCCTGCCGCGCCCATCGATTTGACGGCTAAAATCCGGGGTAGATGTGATGATGAAGCTAGATTGGCGTACCGGGCAAAAATTGGTTGTTGAGTTGGTTCTGGACATCGGTAATTGCTGCGCGGTCCGCGTTCATCTTGGCTGCAAATACGTCTATAGATTGGAGACGGGCCAGGGTAACCGTGGAGTGTCTGCGCAGATCAAAAGAAAGGATATGGGATTTTACAAAGTTGTTACAGTTTCAAAGGCATACGTATCCGTATATTTTTAATATTAATCTTTTAGTCAATTTTTTGGTAAGAGTTTACTTTACCCCCTAGGACAGCCGAAGGGTCTCAAGGTTTTCGGTATTTTCGCTTATTTTGTAGGGATTTTTGGAACGCGATTCGATAGAGCGTCTAAAAATATACTAAGACTTTTAATCAAAACCTATAATAAAGTAAAATAAAAAAGTTATAGCCAAATCATCCCCGCTGGGGGGGGGGGGTAAAGTAAAACGTAGCCAATCTCTTTCGTATCTTTGTCCTTCTTGCAAAAGGTACAATGTTTTTGAAACTCTGCGAAAAGCTCGTCAAATCGAATCGCGAAAAAGTTATTTGTGCTTAGATTAACGATTCCATGATGTCTTTCAGCTGTGAGGTTGTCGGTTCGCAAATCCAACAAAAAAAATGCGCCACGCGCTCTTCGAATCGATAAAATTTATTGTCAGAATCAGTCATGGATGCAGGGCCACACGGAAAATACCCGAATTTTAGCACACGAGTGATAATGGGGGGAAGAGGGGCGAGCGGGGCTTGCCAACACAGGGCAATAGTTTATATTTTGGTAATGGGACGACCGTGATATTTCAAATTAAAGTTTTTCTTAATTTTAAGGTGCTGTGACTAGATCAAATCCAGTTTCCTTGGGTAACAATCACAGTTTTAGCTTTGCATCTTCTTGAATTCCAATTTTGAACCTCTGGAAGTCGGCGAAAATTGTTACTTATGTTGCGTGGGGCAAAAAAATTGGAGCTAGGCAAAAATAAGCGCATCGACAATGGGATCGGAAACTGGAGCAAGTGGATGACGTGTCGTAGGGGGTCTACAACGCCCGAATGGCCGGCTTCGTCTTATCGCCAACGAAGAGCCGCTTCAGCGCAATCTGATAGTCGCGGTTAAACACCTGAAATTTCCACTTTTCGACAGCACATTCCTTTCCTCCCACACACGGCAATGGGCGGCGATTGATGACCAATTGGCTAATAACCAATTGCTTTTTAAATATTTGGGGAAATCGGTTTATAAAATTTGGCGCAGTATATTATTTTGGATTATTTTGGAATCATCTTAAAATATTTTCCGATTATAGTTGGAACTCAATTAAAAAGCGCAAGAAATTGACAGTTTTATGCCAAAACACTTTTACAAAATAAATGTTTAAAAAGCTGTTGTTTTAAACAGTAAAAAACTTCAAAAGAGCTAAGTGGATGTGGCGATCACTAACATTGTTTTTCGTGTTTGATGTCTCGATGGGCTCAATCGATAGAGCATCAATAGGTATATGCAAAACGCTGTTTGTGCTCGAATGATTAAAGCATACAGCGATGTGACTCTATGTTCCCGGGTGACCAGCCAAATACCATTCCGGTGACTCACCGTGTAGATAATGGGATTCATTGCGGAATTCGAGTAACCAAGCCAGGTGATGAACATTTCGATGTGCGGGTTCACGTGGCAATTCTCCCGACAGAACTGCACGACTATGTACATTCTGAAAATTTCGTTGATGATATCTTGTCGATTCTTCATGACCCACATGAAAAACGGCGTCCAGCAAATCGTAAAGCAGCCGAGGATGATGCCGAGCACTTTGACACCACGCCGCTCCTTGGCCGCAGATATGGCCTTCGGCTTTCGTTGCAAGGATTTTCGGTACATTCGTTCTTTTCTGAAAATACGTTGTTTACAGTTGAAGCTGACCGCCGAAATGCCTAGCCGTATACAGGGTAGCCCAATAAAAAGCACCCCTCTGGCATTTGGCCGTATTACATCCGATCGGTCCCAAATTTGGGCCAGAGGTGCATTATACACTAAATCAGACAATCCTAAGTTATAGCCCGTCACCCACAGTAATTTTCGAGATACAATAAAAGTAAACTTTATAATGTGTTTCCACAGGGTTTTCGTCGGAGTAGGCCCTAAGAATATTTAGTGAAAATGATGCGGGAAGGCTGCTTCCCCCTAGGAATCTTTTTCTGACTAATTAAACGCTTATTTAAACAGTTTTTACAAACGAAAATTCACCGGACCTTGAGCGAAATGAGGGATTCCGAGCGGGAAGTCAATGCAATTCGAGGCAAAGTCCATAAGAATAGCCGAAAAACTGGTAAAAATCGCATAGAAAACAGTATTTTGGCTATAATTCCAGAACTACTGTAGCGATTGGGCTATAACTCAGGATTGTGGTTAGTTAGGGTCTGTTACTTAGGTCTGATACTCGTAATCAGCACCACGACTTCCGGGGTGTCGTCGGTGACCCACCGTATCTTGTGCCGCTTCACTTTCTCATAGCTGATCATAACAACACTCTTGACCGGCTTGGCCTCCAGCTTCTTCTTTCGATCGGATATGGGCGGCAGGCTACGAGCCATGGTTACTTCTTTCTAAATTCATCAGATATTAGATGTTTGCATTATATGTCACCTTTCCAGGTAATGTAGGCGTGACCGACGATCCGGCGGTTGTGTGTTGCGTCTCGTCACTTCGTTCGTCCCGACCGCTACTTTCCGCCTCCATCTTAATTGGTTAGATGTGGGCTGATGGTTTTTTGGGTACCTCATCCTCCTCCGGAATTGCATCGTTATTGCCCAGACCATTCTCCACTGCTCCCGAGCTCGAGCCTAAGAAAAATATAGGGCGTTAGTAGGCTCCGGTTAAAGCTTCGGCTTTTGCCGCTTAAGCAAGTTTCTACATATATAGCCAATGAAGCCATAAAAAAGCACATAATTTTTTAGCTTACTATCATCTTCGTCTTCCTCCTCTTCCTTCGCAAACTCATCCGACGTAGGGAGCACGTGCGATATTTCATGAAGTATCGTCGACTCGATGTGTTTACGGATGACCTGAAATGGGCCCCTGCTCTCCCATTGGCTGCCGAATGCCAGAAACACATCTCCAAGGCGGCGATAGAACACAGGACGCGAGACGGACTCCCTACACGACGTACCGTGCCGACACCATTTTCATTTTTCCTTCTAGTTACATGAAAATTCTTTTGACTGCCCTAATTTGTCAGAATTAGGAATCTGAATTCCTGCTCGGTGGAAACCAGTTTTGTTAGAAAAGCGCTTCGAAAATGGCGAGTTTCGGAACTTGTCACACTACAAGCTTGAACGACCGGCGCTTTGCTTCCGGATAACCTGATAGTTTCGATTTTTTTATTGAAGGGAACGCGCTAGCATAAAGTTATTTGTTACTTCAAACCTAGAAATTTTCCATATTTCGCGGATTTTGCGCGTCAAACAGCCATGATCAACATCCCAACGCACTAATGAGGACTTAGGCCGCTTGGGACTTTGAAGTAAGCCTAAGCCTAATCATAAGCCTACACTCTGCGGCCTACACGATCCCTTCAACTCAAAAATTCCTCGCTTTTCTCAGACATCCGGAAAGCAAGACGCGAAGCCGCACAGTTTCCAATCTACACAACAGTTTTTGTGTTAATTTCTTGTTAGTCCGTCCGTGCATGAAATTGCTCAAACCCTCACAGCTTGGTAGATGACCTGGATGGGAAGGAAATGGGAATGTGGATTAGATTTGGATTGAGATTAGTAAAGGGTATGGTCTTGTCTGCATTCCGTCGGCGCTGTTTAAATTTTTGTTTTCTCATTTGAAGATGTTTAGAATCGACCACTGCATCGACCGGTCATCGGCAGCTTAGGCTTAGGGTGCCAATTCTGTCTCCTCCTCGTTCCCTGAAGAATAAACGCGGCCGACGGAACACACAACTACCGAAAGACTAATCGAGCAGCAAGCGAAACAAACAAACAAAAAAAGTTTTGTTAGACAAAGGAAAGTAGGAAACGACTCCGGCTCCCGAGGCTGGAAAGGTCGAGACGGTATTGTAAACGGACACCGACTTGTTCTATAAGGTCCCACACCTTGTTGGTTGTGCTATTGCGATGAACTATGCGCTCGGAATTGCTTTCTGACGGACCCCTTTTTTCATCAACCACAGGGTGTCCCAAAACACCCACCCCTCGGCATTTGGCCTTCTTCTATCGGATCGAGACCACAACTTTACCAGCGATCTGTCTCCAGAACAACTATGTGCAGCCGAATTTTCTAAGTATATGGTAAAACAAAAAAGTTACCGCTAAAAAACTGATTTTTGGGAAACGCTGGTACTCATGTTTTCGTAATTAGCATGCCGATTTTAAACCATTCGCCGAAAAGGATCATTTTTGGGTCGTTTTCTGCCGATTTTGATAATAAAAAGTGATCAAATGCCCATTTAGACGTAATTCTTGTAAATCAAAAATTCTCCGTGGCGGAAAAGGCGAGATCTTCATTTTTGCTAAAGCTTACGAGGCCGAAATCCGCCTGAATCCTAGTGAACTCGTCAAAATAAACCTTCGTTTTGCTATAACTTTTTTCTTTTATAACATGTTGCTTAGCAAATTTGGCAGCACATAGCCTTAATTTTTCCAAATTGCTGATAATAATCTGGTCCCAATCCGATGGAAGACACGGCCAAATGCCCAGGGGCGGTTTGTTTTGAGACGCCCTGTATAATGAAATTTTCGACGCGCATGTCAGAAAGGGCTCTAACCAAATGTCGCCAAATCGGAGAACCTCTCCGGCCATCGGGAATGCCGGCGCGAAACGGATGAAGCAACAAATGGAGAGACAGTGGAAAAGTGCCCAGCGTGCGACATTCAGAGAAAGACCCTTACTTGCGTCGAAACGGCGAGCTAAAAAAACGGCATTGAGTCGGGTGGAGAAGAGCAACGATTGATTATCTCGTCTTCTTTGATATGTCCAGTTTGGATTGTTTCAAGAAATTAAGCTATAGAAAGACGAGGCCATGTCCCGGTGGGGGGGTACCTTCCAAATGAAATCATAGCGACGTTTAGGGTAAGCCAAAATTATGTAGGCACGGAAAGGGTTTGCTTTTGGCGTAACACACGTTCCGACATGATAAATCGTACCGCTATCATATTTACTACGCTGGAAAACTTGACGTGACCACTTTTGACCTGACTTAAAAAGAAACCACCGGAAACGAGGCTTGGCCCGAAAATCATCAAAAGCGAAGGAAATTAGAGAAAGATGGAGATGCACATGCACTCGTGCATCTTTTTCAATTTAAAAATAAAAACAACCCGGGCCGTCTCGAACCTACCTTCTGGCGGTAGATCTGGCGTGCCCGGTGCTTAGCAAAAGCTTGGTAGATTTTGAAGTAAACGAAGAACATTAGCAGCAGTGGGATAAAGAAGGAACCGGTCGCTAAATAAAGGTTTTTTCTTTGGAGATTAGGGTTATACGCCGTATTAAATTTTATTAATACTTGCCTGAATAAACAGTGTATGAGGGAAGGTCGAGGAAGGTACATTGCCAGGTGCCGTTCTGTTGCACCATATTGCCATGCGGGGCCACCTGAGAAAAGGTGATTTTTGTGGCTTTCTCGTAAAATAAAGACTCGGAAAGCAGTTCACTCGAAAGCCATCTCGCTCGCCAAAAACGCTTACAAAAACGTTCACTTTGCACAAACCTTCAGCCACTTGTGATGCGTCTATAGCCGAGAAACCCGCGATTACAAGACAAAATAAGCATTTTAAATAGATAGTTTCTTAGAAAAAATTAGGCTTAGGCATAGACTTAGGATTAGGGTTAGGCTAAGGCAACAAGTGTAAAAATTCTGCTGGGATAAAAACTTTCATAGCCTAAAGTCATCATGAGCATCACAGCAATAATAAGCGACCCACCTGCTTCCACCCAAGCATCGGGGCCAACGAGATAAGTGAAGAGAAGACCCAGACCGAAAGGATCATGATCCCGGCCGTTTTCTTGTTACGCTTGCTCATATACGCAACCGGGGAAGTGATGGCCCAGTAGCGGTCCAACCCGACGATGCCGAGGTTCCAGATGGACGCCGTGGAGCAAAGGATGTCGGCTGAAAGTGTGCACTGGTTTGATTAGATTATCTGGAGAATTGATCATTCGGATGTGATGGACCTAAAAATTAACGCGTGAGAATTTGAAGAAATTCAGAATCGAATTCAACCGTGCTCTGGGGCCAGCAGGTCTTCCGCGACAAATTTTTATAGACGCGCAAGCGATTGTGTGTTTTGGAGCGGAACGTTAAATTGGATTCGTAGCCGAACTATAAGCATTTTTGAATTTTTAAGGCGCACTCACCCGATACGAAGATCTCGCACAACATCTCCGGGAAAACCCATTCGCCGGCTATCGCGTACACAGAAGATAGGGGCAACACGATGAGCCCCAAGCACAGGTCGCTGAACGCCAGGTTTCCCACCTGGAATCATTGATGGAATTTATTGGAGGTGACACATCGAGAATCCAGGATGCTTTGCGACTCACCAATAAGTTCGGCACCGTCTGCAGCCGGGGGTTCTTCTTGAGCACGACGAACACCAAGGCATTGGCCCCAATCGTCCAGACGACCAGGAGGAACAGGGCCAGCCCCTTGAATGCCTGAAATGAACTAATAACTTGTAAGACTCATGGTCTTTGCCTGAAAAAGTGTCTCGTCGGCCATGGGGCAGTCACATTTCCCTGCGGCTCGGGGCAAACACCTGGAAATGGCTGTTTTTTAGCGGTGAGCCAGAATTTGAATTGGTAGTATGAATTCATCGGATACGAATTTAAATTAACACCGACTAAGCGCCGTTTTTATGTTATTAAAATGCATGACGGGTTGATAGCGCATTTTGATGAAATATGTGATTCGAAACAGAAAAAAAATCCCTATCAGATAGGCTACTTGTGATAAATTAGAACAGTACAACAAAAAGGACGGCATCTTGGCCCACGTGTCGGGGGTTAAAAACCGCACTTAGATGATTCATAACTTTTGAATTCGAGCTAACTTGCAGTTTATGAAAACAGGCTCGAAGTTGAAATTCTGCACAAGGTAAGCCAGGTCCCATAGCGAAATCCCACCGTGACTTTCATGGTCCCTTGCAAATGGTTTTTAAGGTATGGCCAAATTAAGGTTTTTCATTTTACCGAAATTTTAGTGTTTATTTTCTATCGAAATCTATCGAAATCTAAATCTATTTATCTATGATATTATGGAACCCAGAATCACTGGTTTTTTCAAAATCTCAGAGGAACAGAATTCGGAATCCCGAATTCCATTTTTCGAACTCTAGTTTTCAGAATCTCGCATTCTTCATTGTCTGAACCAGTAATAAAAACTTCGGGAACTTGCACGGCTATGCCTGCATCGACTCTCGGAAAATGGGATTCGGAAAATTGCAGAATTCGGCGGATTCTGGTTTTCTCACATGTTTGCAATATTCTGAAAGTTTAAAGGCACGATGAACTTGAATGATGTTGCAGGGGAAGTGAACGGGGTCAACGTTCTCACGGAGAAACGCGTTCTTTGGATCGGCAAGCAATGAACGAAAAGGTTAGGATGCAAATTGGGCAGCCGACCAGAAAAGGAGTGGGCCGAAGGTGGGTGGGTGGGATGGAGTGTGGTGGGCCTCCCCAGGACGGGGGCCACCCCCCGGGATATGGGCCATTGTTTTCGTCAATCTGTCCTTCTTCGCCGCCTCACGGGCCATTATTGGAGCGAGTGTGTCGGCCGACCCGAGCGGACCCCTTCCCCCCTCAACTTCCTTCTCCGTGTGCCGGTACTCTGATTTTGGGAAGAGTGTGCTTTGAGGGCCCACGACTATGATCTGGATCTTGGATGCCATCGAAAAGTGAAGTAGGACATCGGCCATGATCCCTAACCAGTACCGTATTACCGTATTTCCTCTGATATCACGGTTCCATTTTTTTCACTCACCCCGATGAGGGGTTTATCAGCGGGAAAGGTATATTTTTGTGATTTTGCTTAATTATTTTGATTTTTAGTAGCTCAACGTGCTCATAACCAGTTTGGATCACAGTGAAAATCCTAAACAGGACGATTTTTTCCATTTTTTGCAAGCACAAAAGGATTTCGAAGTTTTGAGGGGTGGGGGGCTGTGTTAGAGGGGAGAGGGGGATCTAGAAACGCGAACCTTCAAATTTTTTTCTCTAGGTGACAAAGCAGGATGTGGCGAATTGGGGAATTTGTATGATTGCAGTCTTGAATTTACACTGCAAAATAAGCTGATATGGGTAAAAAAAATCGGGCGCAAAGGTTTTTAAAAATATTTGGAATTGAAGAAATATGGTTTGAGCGCCGAACACCCTCCTAAAAACCCAAACCGCAACATGTCCTGGCGGAACTATGTAGTTGACGCTAGGTAGTGCCGATGGGGGGGGATCCGGGAAATTGGACAGGATTTCCGGAGTCTCGGACCTCTAATTAAATGCCGCTTGCTCGAGCTGTCGTCGTAGAGTTTTAGAGAAGAAATTTGAGGGAAATAACGCAAAATTGTATATCCATCAATTTAAGATTTTATCTCTAAGATTTTTATCTCTTTATGGAGATGAGTTTCAGACATCTAAAACAAGCCCAGGTGTCGCTTCCGTCAGTTTGTGCGGAGGATATCTCGAGAGGGGACGAACTTTAACGTACGTATGATACGTCATCAGGTGCGTAACGAGACTGAAACGACTCCCCACATATCACATTTTACAAAATCGGATATTTTCGACATTAGCTTTCCTTTTTTAAAAATTTTTGGGAAATCGCTTTGTTAGGAAACCATGAAGTTGCCATAGTCTATATAAAGCGATAACTTTTTATTTTTATCATTGGGATTCGTGAAGACATATGCAAAGTATAGAACAAGGCTAGACGGGGCCAGGGTTGGAAAGTCGCGAGGTGGATTTTCAACCCTCGTAAAAGCTCAAAACCGGCGATACAAAAACCGATAGCATCCTGAAGTCAAAGCTCGAGGTGAACAAGGAGTGCAACTTCTTTATTAAAGCCTGAGGCGCCTCTTGTGGGCGAGGCGCTCAGTAATAGAATCAATTATTTAGAGGGTGCGCGGCAGTGAGATGGGCGACATGTTACTCGAGAATGCGCCACAGGAAGACACAGCCATTAACGGGGGGAGGAAAGGCTGTGATACGAGAGCCGTCGGCATATTATGCAAGAGGAGGAGGAGGAGGAGAAGTCGACGCCTCCTCGCCCACCTTGGCCCCGCCGCACTCCTCACAAAAATGTGTTCAGGGGCCCTTTGGACTTGAATGAAAATTACGGTAAACTAAATAAACTGATAAGGTTAGATATACTGTATTTCCTCTAATAGAACCTCGCGGGTTCTCTTTTTCAATCACTTCCGGGGAGGGGGGTTGTATTAGCAGGGGGAATATATGTTTTGTGATTTTGAGCAATCACAACAAGTTCTAGCAGTTCAAAATGCTCACGAACACTCGGGAACATAGTACGAATTAAACAGATATCTTTTGGGCATTTTTTTGTTATTAAAGGCAACTCCAAATAAATTTTTTTTGGGGTAGTCATTTTTTTGGTATATTATAGGGGGGGGGACCATATTAGAGGAAATACGGCATGGAAAACAAGGTTGACAAATAGTGTATGTCGCTTCAAAATTTACTTTGAAACAGTGAAAATTTATAATGCAGAGAAAGCGTGCGATAAGTTTTTCAACAGTGCGTCCGCTAGAACTCTCCTAAAATTGCAAATGCCATTTTTATATTGCTGAGAACGGGGACCCGTCTCAAACGTTGATAAATCTTGATAAAATGAGATATGCAATTGAACGGAATAACTATCCGGTCAGAAAAATGTAGGTATTGAAACATCGATGAATTGACTTAACTTTTCCGAATGCGACCACCAGACCTGAAAGTCTGACCATAATTCCGATGAGAAAAGGGCTACGAGAAAAGTGTTTCTAAGCTCTCGAGACAAGGGATTAACCCTGACAGATCAATGAGGAGTGCCTGACCGGCTTAGTGTCTCGCCTCTCCACCGAATCCGTGGTCTGGTTAATCCGAAGTTTCGAACTTTCAAGGGTTGTTTTGAAGGGGGAAGTGACATGATTTATTTTGGATTGACCTGAGGGCCAAAGTTATACCTAAACCAGCTCCCAAAACCCGCTTCGCGGGCCTTGGGCGCTGGAATGCGGCCTTTGCATAAGAAATTTGACGTTCCGATAGCTCGGGTCCTTCGGACTCTTCCCCTCCCCGACCAAACTCGCGAGTGCAACTGGCCAGAATGAGGAAATTTCTATTCCACATTATGCTAATTAGCTCTCCAACGCCCCAAAATTTAGTAAAACCGGCCTTAACTTTGTAAAGTTTTATTTTAACGCGATTTTGAAAACGCCATCGCAAAGAGGGGGGTCGATTCCCCGGGTGACGAAGAATTGGGGTGTTTTGGACACGGGAAGGCCCTCAAATCGGGCCTCGAAAGTGGTGTCCGGACACACACACACACACACACACACACACACACACTGATACACGCCAAAATTATATAAGGTAGGATCACCGAAAAATATCTTGATATTTGGGGAGAGGGGAGATCGGGGTGCAGGCATGATGAGCCGATGTCTTAGATATTCATGCGTTGGCAAGCCGTCATCTGCTCTTCCTGGGTTAAGGGAAAGCCGTTCTTGTTTTCGGTGCTAAAATTTATCCAAAAAATTCGGCGACACTAATTTTCAAACACAGTGAGTGGCATCAATTGATAAGAACATGAAAAAAACTAAGAAAAAGAGAAATAGACATTACTGACAAGCCCAAGCCTAAGCCGAGCCTAAACCTAAGTCTAACCTAGGCACAGTTGGCAGCGACATTCCGACCCCAGGGCCGCTACTTAGACAAATCGATGTTTTGCAGGTGTCAAAAAGCTGAAGTCCCCCTCCTCCGAGTCGGCCTCCTCGAAAAACCCAGGGTATGCCAATCAAATTAGCCAACGAATGGGCCGAATTGCTTTCAGCGACATCCCTCGCTCCCCGGCTTCGGCCTAACGCTCCGTGTGGTGCGAATCTCGAGGCCTAGGAGCCAAGGTTTTTGGTCACGGTGTCTGTGGGTCATTTTGCTTAGTTTGTCGCCAGGCTTGGACCCCGGTTCCCAGGATTTAACACCCAGATGCGTACTTATCCGCCAAGTTTTCAAAGGGGTCACGCGGGAATCTAGCCAAATAACGACTTTTGAAAATTGTATTTCCTGCAGCTCCTAATGTTGTTTCATACTATGAAAAATACGAGATTCAGAAAATTCGAGATTCTGATAGTTAATCGGGCCAAACACATCAAGTAAAGCTGAGGAACTGAGAGATCTAATGGATGCTTCCTGGACACCAAAAAGACTCGCGCTCAAAGAAGTTAACGGCGGCTAGCACTCTTTTGTTTCGACGAACGGAAAGTGGGATAATTGGGTCTGACTCGCCGCAAATGGAATAAAACATTTTGGCGGGCCTCTGCTGCAGCCTATGACCAATTTCCACGTTGCAGGTGAAAAACGGGCCCGGGCTGCAGATAAACATAATCTCTGCGAACAGTCGAAAGCATGTTTACATGAAAAGAAGAGGAGGACATCTTCACAAAAATTCGGAAATCGAAAATTATAATCGTTTTTTCGAAAAGTATTTGTTTCTTAGGCCAATTCCGTTAACACAAAGTCAAGGTTATAATCTGCTCAAAACGATAATTTCAAGAGTTTGCCTTGAGCTCTCAATACTAAAAACCCCCAAACGGTAAGCATTCGGATTTTCC